CAGCAAACTTTTGTTTATCTCTCCAGGCTTCTCTTGCACGACCCTGAATTTTTGTAGTAAATAAACATAATTAAAAAGGAAAGAGATAAGAGAAAAAAACATAACCAAGTTCAACCAGAAGAAACATTCCAAACCAAATGAAAAATGAAAGAAACTTACTACATACCCAAAGACCCTTTTTAAGTTTTAACAACATCCACAAGTTTTGTAGGCACATTTAAGTGAACAATTACCTCTCTAGCACCAGAACGAGAAATATTTTCAGAACCAGCTAAATCAACTAAATTGAGCTTCCCACATTTGATAAGTTCTTCACCTTCTGGAGTTGCTTCTTTGATGTGTATAGTGATGGAGAAAAAGAGAATGTGACCGACTGAAAGACAACAATCATTTAGCAAATAAGGAAATACTAATTTGACAAAATATAAGAAGTAGTGGCAAAATTTTAACCTTGATTGTTTGTTTAGTAGAGTTTCTGCAGTACGACGTTTTGCAGACCCCCTTTCAATTAAATTAAAAATCTCACTCGAACTTGCTACAATTTCCTCCTCTAATCCTCTCACAAGAACTCCTCCTTTTCCATCTTCCATGAGGGGCAACTGTTTTTCTGTTTATCCTCCAAAGCAACTCTAGATATTTCTTCAGGGCAAGCAAATCGGTAATTTCCTCGTTATACAATTCCAAAAATGTGACCTTCACACTATATTCTGCATTTTGACTCTCCAATGTGTCAAAAATTTGCTTCACAGCTCTGGGTATGACACCTGCTTCTGGAGGTAACTCTCCATTAGGCCCACTCTGTCAAAGAAAAGAGAAAATCATATGTGAAATGAGAAAAAAAAAGAGCTGAAACTAAACTCTAATAGGAAAATAACAAGTATCCTATAAATACCTTTGACCTTTTACATTCACCTTCCATGGTGTATGTTTTTCCCGTGCCAGTTTGTCCATATGCCAAAATGGTACAATTAAAGCCCTCCAACACTTCATTGACAATTGGAATAACTGCTTGATCATAAAGATCCCTTTGATGAGCTGAAGGACCAAAAACCTGTATATAACAAAGATTAAACTCAACGCATCAAAGAAATCCTAATAGTTGGGCATCACACACAGATAACCCAAATCACATGTAAATCCCTGTTGCCATTGCCTTATTCAAAACCATAAAGTGGTTGACTTTTGAAAACAATTACTTTAATCCACTACAAGGAAGAATATTAGAGCAGGTCAGTTAAGTATCATCATCTAATACATAGTATGGCGCCAGAGTATGGCCGTTATGGATATATGAGATTTCACATTGACTAAAATCACTGTCTGTTTCAGAACTACTGTGTTAAACACAATTATCTGCCCTTTCTGGGGGATCTGTGATATTAGTTCGGGAACTCTCCAATTGGAAATCTAAACAACCATACACAAAGAATATCTATAACTTTGAACAAATCAAGGGAGAACTTCTAGTTTGGTAACATTTTCAAGTACCCTATAACATTAACTGACAGTAAGGAACAAATTTTAGTAGATTATGTTGGCAAGAGCTATTACATTCATGTGCTGGGCTGAGAAAGGATTGGCAAGACCAGTACCATGAGACATCAAAGACAAACGTTTTCATCAGCAAAGACCATTTTTACATCTGTTGTCCAAACTATTCCAGGAAAAAAATAAGCATCTAACTATCACAATTCCCAACCACCACCATATGGGATACCTTTAAAAGTTAATTATCTAATTTAGGGTTTTCGGTACTTTTACTTTAACAGTTTTATCTTGTTTTTATAACAATTTCTATGACACTTCAGTAACATCTTTTGCTCCACAGTTCACAACCCCAGTTTAGCCCACCAAATGTGTGTGTAGTTTTGCAACCAATCAAAATGCGTTCTAATTTACAACCCAAAATTCTCAACTAATCAGTACACACAATGACATTTTACAATTATCCCATAAAAGAAAATCTTATCATGAGTAAAATTTTCGAGGGCACAAAAACGAAGAAATATCAACCACACATCAAATCAAGTTTATGTGTGAACAGTAAACAATGCATATCAAATGTAAAGTCATTTTCACTGTAAATTAATTAAACTGTACAAAAATTATAACCATTTTTTGGCCAATTACCTTGTCAAATGTAAAAATTCTATCAATATGCTTCCCAGCAATATTTTGAGAAACCGCAACTTCTCTCTGGTAATCATTGCAGGTCACTACTTGCGGTGCATTGTTCCGTAACTCTTCTTCGCTAAATGGTCTAGAAATTGTTGTTGGAAGAAAAGAAAAAGAATGTAAACATAAGAAAATTGAATAATTTGCAACAAATTTACCTGAAAAAAAACAAAATAGAAACCATAGCTCCTAACCATTTTCACATTACACATGAATCTATACACACGTTGATGGATGCATACATATATATAGGCATATGTGCATAGATAAATAGAGAGAGAGAGAGAGAGAGAGAGCAGTACCTGCAACGAAGAAGAACCTGCCACATAACACCTTTCTCTTTCTCTTGGCGACTCGACATTTTCAAGCGACGATGAGAGAGAGAATCACATACACCAGTACTGTTGTCTCTAGATCTACTCCCTCTCTCTCTCTCTCTCTCTCCTGTCTGGGTCTGTCTGTGAATCTGATATGAGAGCGGGATGAGAAGGTGATTTGAAATTTTGGGAGCCGCTCTCATACTTCAATCCCACCGTTGGTCTCTGACTGGTTCAGATCTGACGGTGCATGTAATAAGGCAATTGACGAGACATTTGTTTGACGGAATTGTCCCTGGAGGGTACCTAAAGGTCGTTTTTAACCCCAAGTTGGGTGTACGATGAGTTGGACTTTGAAGCTGGGTCATGCTTAAGGGCGTTCTTACTTCTTCGTAACCCAGTCAACAGAGCCCTGTTATGTTCTGTGTCTAGTAGGTTGTCAAAATTTGACATGATATGATTATTCGATATGAATTAAACGAATTTGGGTAAGGTCTTAACAGATTTAGATGATAAACGGATTGACATGTCAAACACGTTTAATAAACGGGTCCTGTTCGAGTGAGACCTGTCAAACCGTTTATCATATGTTTACCCGTTTAAATAAAATTAATATAATAATAAATTAATAATTATTTTAAAAAATTAACAAGAAAAAAGAAGTAAATAAGTCAATAAAAAAAAGAAGTAAAGTAGTAGTTCAAAGACAAAAGAGAAAAGTTTGAAAACACTTCAAAAGCAAAGACAAACAAATGTTTTTTGTTTTTGTCCCACATTAGAAAATGAGAAGAGATAGAGAGAGTTGAGTTGCCTATAAAAGACAATGGCCTCTTGTTTTTATTTTTAAATCTTTCAAGTCTTATTTTCAAAGACAAATGAGAGGAGTTGTAGAGCACTTCAAAGATAAAAACAAACCAATATTTTTTGTTTTTATCCCACATTGAAAAATGGGGAGGGTGAGTTGCCTATAAAAGACAATAGCCTCTTACTTTTTTTTTTAAAGTCTTCAAGTCTTATTTTTATGAGATTTGATTTAAAATTCCTCTTTTTTGAGATAAGTGCAATTAGTAGTAAAAAAAAATATTAAAATTTGTTGATATAATTTTTTAAAAATTAAACTGATTAAACGAGTCGTGTCGTGTTACCTATTTATTAAACGGGTCGTGTTCATGTTAAAATTTTTTACTCGTTTATTAAACGTGTCATATATGAGTTTATACGTTTTTCACCCGTCACCTGTTTAACCCGACACGATTGACACCCCTAATGTCTAGGGGTGTGCATAGCTCGGGTCGGGTTAGGCTTGTAAAAATAATTTTGGATCGGGTCTAGCTGGTGTAGGATGAGACCTTTATCTAAGTGTGTTATCAACAGGCCGTGTCGGACTTCAGGTAGGGGTAGGCTACCCGCAATGCAACACACAAACCTATTAGGCAGACCTGCTTGCAAGTTTTTTTTATAAACAACTTCATTTAAAAATAATGAATATTTGTGTAAATTATATTTTTGAATAAAAAATACAGTCAAAATAAATAAAAATAAAATAATAAATTATTTTTATTTTTAATTATGGGATAAACTATATTCAATAAAATAAATACTTCCCAATTAGGTTGACACATACTCACTTATTTATCATTTGCATTACTCTATCGTTTAAAACTTGTATGTTTAATACATGAAAAATAAAATAATACATTATTTATAGTATCTAAATTTTTAAAACTTAAAATTCTAACATTGAAAGACTTATTTCAAAATTTCAAATTTAATAGTCTACAAGTATATTGCAAATAAAGGGTGGTGGACGGGCTAAGTGGGTGGGTTAGGCTTCGCAGACGGGCTCTTGGGCCAGGCTTCAGGTTGAATAATAAGGTTTGGGTGCAAACTCAAGCCCTCTTTTTAAGAATATTGGGATCGGGCTCGGACAGGCCAACTATTGACCCTATCGAATTTTGAACCTATTTTTTTGTACCAAATAACGAAATCCGTAGATAACCCGATCCATAGGCACCCATATGTGTGTCCATCCTCAGAACAAAGCTGTATTTAATATATTAGAGATCGTGCACATACATTCCTCGACCACCCAACTAAATAAAAGATTACAATTAAAAAATGTGAGAGTCAAATTTTTTTTTTTTTGGGGGGGGGGGGGAGAATTGTTTTTTTCTCATCTCTTTTTATTAATGAACAATTTCATTGCATCTCAAAAATCAAAATATAATTTCAGTATGTAAATGTGTACACTTATCTTTTTTTTTTTTTATTCAATGATCAAGAATGTTTCTAACTACCGCGCACCTCAACTAATGTTGGAAGCCCTGCAATTGAAGGCAATTAAGGAGGGAATTGCAAGTCTATTAAATCTCGTGGAAATGTTATTGATTTATTCTTGGTCTATGGGATTCCCACCAATGAGCTTTTTTTTTTTTGATTATTCACACACTTCTTTGTTGAATACAAATCTCGTTTACTATATTGTCTTTGAAATTTTTATATTGTGACATTATAAATTGTACACCGTGAACAATTCACTTATATATAATAAATTTCACATAAATTACTAAAAAATGATTTATGCCGAGAAAATTATTATTTCCACTACTTTTGCAATTACACTTACGTAAAAGGAAGTGTGAAGCACGTCGTCGTAAAAGCAAATTCAATTTTTTGAGGTCATTTTGAAGAGTAAATATTAAATATAACGGTGACACCATATTATCAATATTACATGTTGTCACCGTCCAATAATGAATGATAAAATGGATAAAATGAATATCACCTTCATAGATGGGTGATTACTAAATTGGGTGGGATCCACTTACTTGTTTGTTATTTTTCTAGTAAATGGTGATACTACATAACGATGATGGTCTAATACCATTGTTACCTTCAATATTTGCTCTATTCGAAGGATGATTCTACAAGTCATATGGTCCTTTTTCTTCACACAAAAGATCCTAATTCTCCATTAAAAGGCACACAATCGTAGACTATTCTTCAAATAAGACAAATTCGCAAATTACTTATACTTACCTACTAATTATACATTATAAAAAGACCCAAAATTTTAGGTCATATTTGGTTAGCATCTGTAAAACAGTTTTTTGTTCTAAAAATTTTTAAAACATTCAAACCTGATTGTTTAGCATTTTTGTTCTCAAAATTTTCGAAAAAAAATGAGATTTGGAATACAAAAACAGAAAACAAGTCAGGTTTGTTTTCTGGGTATTATTTGAAGATTTTGAAAACACGAAAAACACACAAATTTATTTGTTGTGCACTTATTGTATCAATATAAAAACATTTTTTTTTTTTTGCATTCTTTTTCCCTCATCTCTCTCTGACCTCTCTCTCTCTTGTGCCGACATCATGGTTGTGTCTTCAACCCATAAATTGGGTGACTGGAAGCACAAATCCGGCGACTAGATAGATCCTTTGGTAGTGGTTGTTAGTGTTGGGTGGTGGTTCTCTGTTTGGGTGGTGGTGGTGTTTGTGGGGTGTTGGGTGGTTCTCGGTTTAGGTGGTGGGTGATGAGTGGTGGGTGGTGGGTGGTTCTCGGTGTGGGTTGGTGGTGGTTGTGGGTGTTGGGTGGTTCTCGGTTTGCGTGGTGGTGGTGGTTGTGAGTATTGGGTGGTTCTAGGTGTGGGTTGGTGGTGGTGGTTGTGGTTGTTGGGTGGTTCTCGGTTTGGGTGGTGGTTTTGGGTGGTTCTCGGTTTGGATTGATGGTGGTTGTGGGTGTTGGGGTTGATGGTGGTTCTCGGTTGTGGGTGTTGGGTGATACACAATGAAAGAGAGAGAAAGAGAGAGTTGAGAAAATGTGGGAAATTTGTGAATTATTGTCCAAACAAATTTTATAATTTTTATTTTTTAAAACTATTTTCAAAAATATATAAACAAACAGGTTTTGTAATCTAAAATTTTTTAAAAATACTTTATTAAAACTCTTTTCAAAAATAATTTTTAAATACTATTTTTTGAGATACAAACCAAATAGGCGCTTACCTTCTTGTTTTCCTTCTCACAAGTTAATTACGCAGTAGAGAATTTAAGTGAGGGTAAGGTTAAGTGAGCTATTGGTGTGCCAAGTGTAAGCTGTGCAGAAATTTTGGCATTATGGCTGAGGCCAGCTAATTCTACTAACAGTAATTTATTTAGACTTATTGAGGCTTGATCCACCACCCCCCACCCCCAACAACAAAAAAAAAACCCTAAATTCAAGAAGGCAACAGGCAGGTGGCAGAAGATTTATGGTCAACAATAAGTTGAGTCAAGCACTGGTTTATGCAGTTTGTCTACAAGAGTGTTAATCGAATCAAATTTTACAAGTTAAAGTTCAAGCATGTCAAGCTTGTTTTTTTAAATGAGCCTAAAAAATTATTTAAACTTAACTTATTTAAAAATGAGCTGATCCCGAATAACTCAATTATTTTATATGGAAACTAGATCAGCTTCGCAAGTTCGAGCCGAGTCTTTTTAGATTCATTTTTCTAAACAAATATAAAAAATTATTCAAATTCAACTCGTTTAAAACACAAGTCGAGCTCGAATTCGAGTTGAACTCAAATAAATAGTCTCGATTAACACTCCTATTCATTACATGGGATGTCAAATGGAGAGAGAGAGATGCATTTATATAAAGAAAAGCCAGTAGGGATTCATCAGTTAGTTCCTAGTGCCATAGATATTGTGGTAATTGACCAGTTGACACTAAAGAAGCAATTTATTTTAACATTAACCCTTTTCCCAGCTCAGAGTTTTCAGTTCTGACTGATCAACTTTAAAACCTAGCTGGAAAAATGTCCAGTTTATTCCCAAATTGATCAACAGTGGTACTATGTATGTATATACATTCCATGTTCTAGTACATCAACTCATGGACTCAACTCCATACATAGAGAGACCCCTAAAACACTAAAGGCTAGTGTACACAACTTCTATCTTCATATTTCTAAACAAACTCATCTACCCAATTTCCAAAATCAAACTTCCCATTGCAGGATTCCACAGCACTTACCACCTCTTGGAAAACAGTCACACTACATGGAACCACAAGCCTATTCCTCTGCTTGAACCCGAACTCATTGTAGGCCTTCTCTAACAACATTTTGAATAGAGGATGAGATAAGTACCCGGTCTGGATCACGAAACGTTCTCTCTCCTCCCCTACATAGAGGGCGAAAAATCCGGTTGGGGTCGAGGAAGACGAGCCTTGATCTTCTTTATCACTAAGCAAACATTGAGAATGCGATGGCTCACGATTATCACTTCCAATTACCTTCACCTTCTCCACCAATTTCTTCATTGAACCCATCTTCTTGCTCAACATGTTTTTAGAAACCTCAGGGACAGTTAGGAGAGGGTGGAGGTGGAGGTGGAGGTGGACAGAGAACTTAATAGAAGGGAGTGGTATATGCATTGAGAGAGAAGGTGCGTGGGGGAGAATATGAGGGGAATGTCTCAAATAGTGCCTTATTTTAACTTTAAAATAAATGAGAATCTATGATTGTGGAGGTTTTCATTGTCTCTAGGTATTGTCTTCAACTTCATAGACTTTTGACTTACCCATAGTTAAGACGGCCTATAACTAAGTCATCTTTATTTTTTTAACATAAAATTATAATTGCCGGCACTAATTTAGGGTGCGAATAGAAAGGAGACGAAATGGTGGTAACAGATATGAGTTATAAACTCAAATGTATTGAATTCGAATTTTGACAACTCGTTGAAGTGAAGCCATAAGGGATTTATTACTCATTAATACCGTAGTCTCAACATGAATAATGTGTCTTTGACTGTATTAGAGAAGAGATTAATCGAGGTGCACGTAAACTAGTCCGGACACCCCTTACCTTTGAACCTAACAAAAAAAAATTTTTGGTGAAGATGTGTTGTATTTAACGTTGGATGGCCAAGATCCAAAGTTTTTATAGGCTATCATTTTTAGAATAATGTAGCAAAACTTAAAAAAAATGGTTTAGGTGTTATTTATGTGTTCGAACTAATTTGAATAGGGCGATACGAATAAGAGATTGATCGATTGATTAAAGTAATGTTTTCCTTAGACAAATAAAAATCAATCATATTATACTAAACCCCTTTTTGCCGTTGGGGAAATGTAAATATTTTTAGTTACTAAGACATGTATAGTTAGTAATATGACTGATACATAATTGAATCAAAGGACCTTACTTTTAAGCTCAAATTCCTTATGAATTAAGAAAAAAAAGTGATTTTTTATTTGTCAAAAAGGAGAGAATACTCACCACCCACCTCCCTAAGTTGAGAGTGAGAGAGAGAGGTTGACCTCGGATAATGGTGGGCATCATGAAAGAAGTGGGAAGCCATTAATAATAACATCTCATCTCTTTGCAGACATTAAAATAGTCAAACTACCACTTTAGTTTTAGTCCAAGAAACCATAACGTGTGGGGGGGATAAAGGAAAGAAATATTATTCCTAATCCTACCTATAGACTTGAAAAATAGCAACCAAGGACGGCACCCTTATGAACATTGTGTGAGGGCGAGGAGAGACATAGATACATACATACATACACACCTATATAACTATATCTATACAAATGTACTTATATGGTTCAATCAAAAAAATAATTTTTCGACATTATTTTTATATTTTGTTATTTTTCTAATTAATAATTATAAATAATTCAAACTAATATTTATGGTTGGGATTTGGGAATCAATTTTGGTACTATACCACAACGGTGTCGTTAGGAGTATCAAAATATGATTTAACCCATTAACATTAACATAATAAAAATATAACACGGAATTAGAGGATTTGAATCTTTTTTAAACCACCCGTTTACTAAATGAATGGAATCGACACAACACATGACGGGATTCGTTAGACACAAATTGATGAACGAATCAAAGATGATTGAGGTATTTTTTGACACGAAACTCATTAAGTCTTGATATTAACGCGTCTCACCTGACATATATGAATTTTTTTGTCTTATAAAAATATGACACTGACATCTACATATTTTTTTAATTTTATTATTTGGAACAGTTAACATGAATATACCTCCATCCACAAAAGGACAGAGCATTTGGAAGGTTCGGGGCCTTTGGGGGGGCAAAAGAACAAACATGGTAAGAGGATTTAGATGACTATTGACAAGGGAGGTGAGACAATTTGTACATCAATGTTGATGTAATTTTCATGAATTAAGACCTGGCTGTACAGATGGTACATTTGTGTTTTCTTGGCAAATTCTTAATACAAACCTCCATAAACCCTGTCTCCATTGAAAATTTCAACTTGTGTGTGTGGAAGAACCTTATTGGTAGGCCAATCAATGAATTGAATTGGGATTAAATTTTGAGGAATTCAAATTTGAATATAAAAGTTTGATTATTTTTCGTGTTTTATATCCGAATGCGTTGGTAATTGAAATTCGAATCAATTTGAATAACTTAATTTAATTCAATTTCAGAAAAAAATACATCTAAATTTTAACTAAATTTCTTCAAATAATTACTTAATTTTCTTAATATTTATATAGAAATATATGCATATTTCGGATTCAAGTTCAAATTATTAATAAAAAATATCAATTCATATCTGACTAAAGAAATTTGGATTATAATCCAATCCACTGAAAGACCTACTACAAATCAAAATAATACGTTCCCAATATAAAAGGACTAGGACTATTAAACAAAACGAGTTACTTCGGTTTGAATCATTTTTTGGCTTGCTCAAGTTCGTTCAATTTCTTATACAAGCTGCAAATGAACATAATTAGCTTAGCCGAGATGAGCTAAGCTAATTTATTAGTAAAATTTGTGGATTTAATGTTCTACCTTCATTTCAAGAAAATAAAATCGCAAATTTTAGACTGGCCTTACTAGTTGGTCCAAGTCTACTTTGCAATGCCCAATAGTTTAATCAAATGTGACAATGATTTGTAGACCAGTTCAAAATTGGGTCTAGGATATTATTAGATGCTAGTCGGTCGATTCCAAATTCTACAAAGGAGGTTTAATTTATCTGCATCTTTTTTTAAGGTTGGTGATGTTGGAAAAATGGTTTTAAACTAGATTATTTGAGTAATTTGAGGTTTAAGTGAAAATAGGACCCACACCTCAAAATCGGTAGGACCAAGTTTAAACACGTTTTCTTCCATGAGAAGATTAACGTGGTATGCTTATTTATCTAAAACCATTAAAATTTGAGGTGATGAAATAAATTAAGATTGGTGTAGTGGAATACAGTTTGTCCTACATTGGAAGAAGACAAATATTTTGGGGAGTTAATTTACTTCTAGTTGACTTCATGAGTTGGGCCCCAAGGAATACCATAATTTTGTGAATAACGCGAACGCCTACACTACCTTAGTTACCATACACGTGCGTGCCACGCGCCTCGGCTTGGGCCGGGCCCAAAAGATATAATTTTTTTAGATAAAATTTATTTGGAGCAGTGCAGGTCATGGGACAAACTAATCTAATCCAAACATGGATCGTAATTAAAATTCCAACCAAAATTTAAATCCAATCGGATTTTTATAAGTGACCAAATTTAAATCCAATCAGACTACCCCATTGCCATTTTAATCCATCCCAATTCTGGATTCCACTCTCAAAATTTCTTCTTTCTCGTGCATATTGCTGCATTGTTCTTTTGGTTCGATTCAAGTATAAAATACAAGTTGTGTTCACTAGTCTTTGGAGATTGAAGTGCTACTTCTGCAAAGACGTAATCCGTTCTATCTTTGGAGGTAGTTGCTCATCAATCTTGAGCACCGAAAGGGAGCAAATTTGTTTTAAGTATTTTGAGTTTTACAAGGTTCAAATTGAATATTCTGGTTTTTTTATTTTATTGTTCGTGCAAATCTGCGTCGTTGTGAGTGCACTAATTTTGTTTACTTTCTATTTTGATTAAATTTCATATAACAGTAGCGACATATAAGTTCAATTCTATTATTGCATAAGTTAGACTTTATACAGTTTAATATAATCTAATTATATACCTATTTATAAAATGTCAATTATAAATATGATCTATGAATTCAACGAAAAATTGATACAAATTTAAATTTCATCTTCAAAGTTCGGATAATAGATGAATGGACACGGTATACCTGTTAAATAAATGAATCGATACAAATATGACTAAAAACAACAATAACTCATTTAGTACGATTTATACAAAACACAAAAGTGACACAATATAAAACTAATTATACATGATTATAATGGGTCAAGTAATAGCCAAACAGTTCTTGGGTGGGTCATGGGTGAAGAGAAAGAGAGGAGTGAGGGGGTTGACTCATCCTTTGGATGCATTGAAGTGTTATACACTAACTAGTGACTATAAAAATGTCAACCAAAAAACAATCCCCAAGGGTTATATGATCTTTTTGAAAGTCAGGCAAACGTAGGGTTTCACACACACACAATAATGCAATATATTCGAGGCCTTTTCCAAATTAAAATAAAATTGCTAGCAAATACTTCATATTTGACTATGTTTGTGTGTGTGCGCACGCACTTTCTGCGAATTCTATGAAAAATTGATACAAATTTAAATTTTGACTTCATAGTTCGGACAATAGATGAATAGACATGTCACACTTGTCAAATAAATTAATTGATATAAATATGACTAAACATGACAATAACTTATTTAGTACGATTTATACAAGACGCAAAAGTGACCCAATATAAAACCAATTATACATGATTATAATGGGTCAAGTAATAGCCAAACAATTCTTGGGTGGGTCATGGGTGAAGAGAAAGAGAGGAGTGAGGGGGTTGACTCATCCTTTGGATGCATTGAAGTGTTATCCATCAACTAGTGACTATAAAAATGTCAACCAAAAAACAATCCCCAAGGATTATATGATCTTTTTGAAAGTTAGACAAACGTAGGGTTTCACACACACACACACACAACAATAATGCAATATATTCGAGGCCTTTTCCAAATTAAAATAAAATTGCTAGCAAATACTTCATATTTGACTATATTTGTGTGTGTGTGCACGCACTTTCTGCGAATGCTACAAAAAATTGATCCAAATTTAAATTTCGGCTTCATAGTTCGGACAATACATGAATAGACATGTTACACCTGTCAAATAAATGAATCGATACAAATATAACTAAACACGACAATAACTTATTTATTACGATTTATACAAGACATAAAAAGTGACGCGATATAAAACCAATTATACATGATTATAATGGGACAAGTAATAGACAAACAATTCTTGGGTGGGTCATGGGTGAAGAGAAAGAGAGAAGGGAGGGGGGTTGGCTCATCCTTTGAATGCATTGAAGTGTAATTCATCAATTATGACTATAAAAATGTCAACCAAAAAACAATCCCTAAGGGTTATATGATCTTTTTGACAGCCAAACCAAGGTAAGGTTTGACACACACACAATAATGTATTATATACGGGGCCTTTCTAAATTAGGATGAAATTGCTAACAAACACTTAATATTTGCCTATATGTGTAGTGAGCACGCGTTTCGGTGATTTTACAGTTACAAGAGTCAAGTTTTAAACCACTAGAAAATTCTTGGTGGATGAACTCTTATAAGTTTGGGATATTTATGCTTGATCACTTGCTTAAGATTGGATAAGGTATGAGTCTATTCTTATAATATCAATCTTACTAGGGTCCTCATGCAAAGTACACTTTTTTATTTTTTAACATGGATAGAATATTTATTGTAGTTAAAATATTTATTGTGGTTAGCATATTTAGTGTGGTTCAAACTTCAAAGGGATTTAATGTAAATTAAAAGATAAAGTATACATAAACCATTAGACTTCAATGCATCCTTGATTGCATTGAAGTGTTATCCATCAATTATGACTATAAAAATGTCAACCAAAAACACAACCCCCAAGGGTTATATGATCTTTTTGAAAGCCAAATCAACTTAGGGTTTGACACACACACAATAATGCAATATAAATGAGGCCTTTCCAAATTAAAATGAAATTGCTAGCAAATACTTCATATTTGACTATATTTGTGCAATGAGCACGCGCTCCAGCGATTTTATATTTACATAAGTTAAGTTTTAAATCATTAGAAAATTCTTGGTGGATGAACTCTTATAAGTTTTGGTTATTTATAGTTGATCACTTGCATAAAGTTGAGATAAGTTATGAGTCTATTCTTATAATATCAATCATACTAGGGCCGTCATACAAATTACACTTTTTTTTGTTTTAATGTGGATAGAATATTTATTGTAGTTAAAATATTTATTTAAAATATTTTCATTTTGTTTAATCAGTAGGTATGATTTAATATTTATTGTGGTTGGCATATTTACTATGGTTCAAAGGAATTTAATATAAATTAAAAGATAAGTTATACATAAACCATTAGACTTAAATGCATCCTTTGAATGCATTGTTCAATCAAAAATAAAAATAAAAGTATTATCCATTATGACTATAAAAATGTCAACTAAAAAACAATTCCCAAGGGCACTTTTTGAAAGTCAAACCAACTTAGGGTTTGACGCACAGACACAATAATGCAATATATATGAGGCCTTTCCAAATAAAAATAAAATTGCTAGAAACACTTCATATTTGACTATATGTGCGTGGTGAGCACGTGTTTCGGTAATTTTACTTTTACACGAGTCAATTTTTAAACCATTAGAAAATTCTTGGTGGACAAACTGATATGAATTCGGGATACTTATACTTGATCATTTGCATAAGATTGAGATAAGGTATTGAGTCTATTCTTATAATATCAATCCTACAAGTGTCCTCATGCTAAGTATGCTTTTTTATTTTTTATCGTAGATAGAATATTTATTGTAGTTAAAATATTTATTTAAATTATTTTTATTATGGTTAAACAGTAAGTATGGTTAAAAAATTTATTGTGGTTAGAATATTTAATATAGTTTAAAGAGATTTAATGTAAATTCAAAAATAAGTTATACATAAACCATCAGATGTAACACAATGGGGGTTGTTGCTATACTTTGATTAGTGAAGAGCATATTGTTTTATCCTATAGATATTTCAACTAGAGATTAGTACATGTTTTTAAGTTAAAAAAAACAAAAGCACATCTGCATTCAATCCCATCCAAACAAAGCCAATAACACTGTGGTCATTGTAGTGTCTAATACCAATCAGAATTGATTGTATGGTCGTGTCCTATGAGATTGGTATTAAATCACTTGGGTGATGTTATTTGATACTGTATCATGGAGCCCACATTAATTCATGTAATAAGTTGGACCATGTAATAGAATCCAAATAAATGATATAAAGTTTCTAGTAATATAGTCCAATTTCATTTCTAATTCTTGAATCAAACATGCACTAAGAATGCATCAATTTTCAGTATTAGGGTCACCTTTTAGCCCTTGTAGGTTACGTGAGGTGTTAAAATATGTCACGATTCATTAACACGATACGAAATTATGGAATTTTGGTCTTTCTTAAGACATCCGTTTTGTAAATGAGTAGTTATGAAATAACACGATTAATAAACGAATCGGATATGAGTAAAGTCAACTAAAATAAATATACGACACAACTCATGTATATGCCGGTTATACACGATTTATACACGACACGAATTCAATATAACATGGTTTGTTAGATATGAATTAATAAACGAATTAGGTAAGCGTTAAATACTTTTTGATATAAACCCACTAAAACTCAACACAAACCCGTCTCACCCAATACGGTTGACATGCCTATGCCCAAGGTCCCATACCAATCCAATGATGTCTGTTGAATCATTATGTATGACATGTCTCTAAAAGGTGAGGGTTCACACTTTGTATTGCTTAAACAAATTGTTGGAATTCTTAAAGTGATGCATTTTCGAAAGGCAATATATATTTTTTGTTGATATTATATTATAAAATATAAAATTTTAAGGGTCAATGAATCAGTCTTTTAGCATGAAAATCATATATAATTCAAGCGAATGCAACATCCAAATACGATGTTAAGATTAATCAAAGTTAGAAAATTGTATTTAGTTTAACTAGTCTCCAAACCTAAAAATTGTGACACACTAAAGATCATCGTGTTGGAAAGGATAGAAGACTATAATATATGTCTGGAACCATGAATTTCGCATAAAATCATGTACATTAGGGTGTGCGACTTTATCAAATATAGATTAAGTTCATACCCAAATGTCCCATTCTGGTGAGTGATACTTGATTTTCACGTGAAATTTCATGTTTCACGCACTTATTATAGTGTTCTATCATCCACATTACGACCAGAATTAATAAAATCGACTCTATTAAGTTGGGACGCTAGTTAAACAAAGGGTAAATTGTAAGAGGTACACCAAATTAGACTTATTTAGAAAAAAGTACACACTAAAAAATGTTAGGTTATTAAGTACTTAATTTTGATATTTATTTGTATCTAAGTACATAATTTGAATTCATTAATTTTTATTGTGACATTTTTGCCTTCCATTAATCCATTTGTACTTAATGCACCACTTTTCTTTAGAAAGTGATGCATTAAACATCTCCTAGTTTTATGGGAGAACTTTAATATATATATATATATATATATATATATATATATATGTTTTTATATATACATAAATACATATATATATATATGTATATATTTATGTATATACTTATATATACATACATATTTATATACATATATATATATATATATATGTATGTATATTCTTCTTGTTAAATCTCTTATCTAAATTTTAAATTATCTTTTAATGCACCTTGATTCGTGCATTTTTTTTTTAGAAAGTGGTTTTATTTTCAAATTAATTTAATATCAAAATAGTGTAATAGTGTAACAATAACAGTTTAACAATAAAAGTGTAACAGTGTAACAATAAAAGTGTAACAGTGTAACAATAATAGTGTAACGAGCTATTTACACAAAATATTGTACTATTATATTTTGTCAAACATATAGTTTCATATAATTTCATTCAAAATAGTCGATCTCCGTTTTGAATTTGTTACCATATACACAAAACTACTGAACACTGTTTTTGTTACAGTGCATTTGTTACACTGTTATTGTTATACTATTACATTATTCGGATATTAAATTAATTTGAAAATAAAACTATTTTTCAAAAAAAAAAATACTTGAATCAAGGTGCATTAAATATAATTTAAAAACAAAATCACTTTTCAAAAAAAAAAACGCATGAATCAAAGTGTATTAAAGATAAGAGATTTTGAGTTCAATGATCCTAAAATGGGCATTTATGTATTTTTAACTCACATTTTGTTCTATGTAATTTTTACCAAATAAATCTAATAAGGTGTACCAGCTTCCAAAGATCCCTTAATTTAAAGGTTCTTTAGGGTATTAATGGGCGAAAAAAAATGGGCTTTTGATAGAAACCCAAAATCATCGAGCCTGGCCCACTTTTTAGGGTATTAATGGTCGATAAACCAGTGTTGATAAAAAAAATTGGGCTTTTGATAGAAACCCAAAATTATTGAGCCCGGCCCACTTTTTAGGGTTTTAATGGACGATAAACCACTGTTGTGTGCTCTCTGCCTGTGAAATAGTTTTTCTCTCTAGGGTTTCGCAATGAGCAGATCAGGTCAGCCTCCGGATCTCAAGAAGTAAGCTACCACTATCTTTGTATTTCTCACCGGTCTAGGTTTTCTCGGTTCCTGTATTCGTTGTATCGCCTTTTCTTTTTGTGTTTTCTTCAAATTGTTTTTTGTTTTAATGCATCTTTTTTTGGTGTTTTGGATGACAGATACATGGACAAGAAATTACAGAGTAAGTTCTCCCTTCGTACACGTTTATGCGTTTCATTATCCCATTCATTTTAGCAGTCATTGTTAGGGTTTGTTTGGTTGCTGAGAAAATAGTTAACAAGCAAATTAAATTAAATAAATACATGTACAGAGAGATGTGATTCAGAATTTTTATTTGCATTCTTTTTTTCTCAGCAACCAAACGGAACACAATAGTTCTTGTAAATTTATTGTTAGATTCTCTGTTAAATCGTTGAACTTATAGTAAGTGTTAGTTTTGCCTCGATTGCGCCCGTTAGAAATTTAATTGTACGACATATTTGTGTATAACATGAATGATTTTTGTATTCATTTTCGGAAATTTCTTGGTCATTGCAATGTTCTTTATGCATCATCATTCGTGGGTTGTCCATGTCGATCAGCATAGTTAAAAGACTCAAAACCATTGAGGTTGCACGGGCAATAAGTTGGAGAAGGCTGATTGCTATCATAGAATCATGTTCACCAACTGTAGCATAAGTAATGTGATTCCCTTCAATTTACGAAACAAGAGGTGCTAAACATGTTATATAGAGGATAAAGTCCTGACAGTGCTCATTTTAGTTCTGATACTGTTGTATCATCTTCACCCTGGCTACGAGGATATAGCACCATTTTTCATAACACAAAGTATCAAGGGAAGCTAGCTATGTATACTTTATAGTGTATTTAAAAGACCTCCAGCACAGTATTATGGCACAAAAATGTCAATAGATTGTGAAAAAGAATCGCAAGGACTGTCAACTTAGCAATAATTTTTAGCATCGGTTGCTTATTTCATTTTGATTGCACACCAAATGGATTGAACACTTGTAAGGAACTTGAATCTATTGAATCGAATCATTAATCAACACAGTAGTTTTTCTAACTAGTATCACGAATTTTAGTTTAGAAAGCCGTAGCACCATTTTAGGTGATTGAAATCATTTACAACTCGATAACATCAGAATGAAGAGAAAAGGATCAAGTCCTGTTCAGAATACATGTCAATTTTCAGTCCTAGTTGGTATTGTTAATTTAGCCCATTTGGATTCTAATGTGCACTTCTACTGGGTCTATTAATTCAAGATTCTGTAATGTAGTAATAGATCATACACCGGCAAATTTAATCTGATATTCTCTATTTCAGTCAAGTTGAATGCAAATCGTATGGTGGTTGGAACACTTCGTGGATTTGATCAGTTCATGAATCTGGTGATTGACAACACTCTGGAAGTGAATGGCAACGAGACAACTGATATAGGCATGGTGGTAAGTATTTGACTTTTTCCTATTTGCCATTTTATTGTTTAAGTCTTTCATTTGATAATAATGCCCTGATTTGCCAGCCCATTGGTAATTATGATGTCAATTCTCTTCCTGCAGGTCATCAGAGGAAACAGTGTGGTCACTGTTGAAGCGCTTGAGCCAGTAAGCAGAACACAGTGATTGTGGATAGGATTGGTATGAATTACCTGTATTATGTTTACCTGTTGGGACAGTAGAGCTGCTAGTATGTTAGAGAAAAGTTTATTTTATGTTGGTCTGATATGGAATTGATTTGATGCAGCGGAATGACTGGTCTTGTTGGGTATGTTTTAGTCCATGGTTTGTTGATAAGCTTGAATATCTTGCATGCGTAAACAATTTGTATTTGACATTAATGGTATCGGTCATTGTGGATGATATTGTCTGTTGTATATTAGACCAAATGTATTAATTCTATAAGCTTTTACTTGGTTTAGTGTTTGTCTTCTACCTGGATTAACTGTTTGAGCTCAAGTTAGTCAAACATAGTTGAAGACTTGCTCGAGCCACTTAAACAGTTAATTTTAGTTATTTTGAACAGAA